CATGTGGGGCTTTAGATTGAGATGAATTGGTAGCTAGTAAGAATTTAGAGTGAAGATATCACTGCTTATAAATTAGAAGATCAATTTTATAAATTTACACAATCATTCAGGATTCATGCATCAGGCATCGTGTAGACTGTGGTGATTTAAGTTAGAGGATTGACGTAAACAGCAAATTTCTGTGTAGAAAAATATGAATACCAGGAGTTCAGTGCTGTTCTTTGGAAATCCTTCAGCAGAGGGAAGGTGGCCTGGAGTACTGGGGCTTCTGGTTGATTCTCCCCAGGAGCATGAAGTGGTGGGAGTATTTTCCCCATCACTATGGGTCTGGCAGATTCCAGGCAGGCAGACACGAAAACTTCAAGTGTGTCTTGTAAAATCTTTGGAAAATTTCAATTTGAGCATTTAGATGATTCAGTTTCTAAAATATGCAATGGCATAAAATATTAGTATACACATGGTTGTGGGATCCATCTGACAGGATGGTCTGCTTTCATGTAGTTCACAGAATATGTCCTATGTTACTTTGCACGAAGCATGGGTAATACTTGTAGTAAAGGCTCAAAGACTAGCACATGACAGTCTGACTGTCCCACTTGGAAACAGGATGATTCTCTGTGCCGTGGACTATTTCAGCTGCTACCTGCTCTTGGTAGCTCCCATGTTCTTTCCTCTTGTGTAGCAGTTTGGAACTGCCGTGACCAAGCAGTGATTAGACGTTCACATATCAGCTCAAGCTATTCTTAACATTTCCCAGATTTCAAGTACTGTGAATTCTGTGAACATTTGCTGCTGTTGCAGTGATCATTGCAAAGTGTGGCTATGAGTGTAATTTCATAACCAAAAGTAACTGAAGCTACTATGAGAGTCTATGCCTGTTGGTTAATTTCTGTAGTTTGAAGAAAAAGTATTTTCACTCTTCATTATTTGATAACTTTCATTTGCTAGCAACCTCCATTTTTACCCTCAAAATAATGCAGGCATGATTCCCTGTTGTTCTAGTCTTAGGTTTAGGCAGTTCTTTAAAATGTGATTAAAGCACATTTAAAAACCCATGCAGAGGACCCTTTCACTGCTTCCTCCAGCAGCAGGAACAGCAGCAGTTTCTGTTTAAGTTTCTAATGCATGGCAGGCACTTTACTTCTGTCGTAAGGTCCTACTTTGCCAGTTGACAGTGTACATCCTGACAGGAAAGGAAGCCCTTCCCTGACAGGCAGAGATGACCATGGCTTCCTCTGGCTTCTGTTTCTGTTTCTCTCTGGACTGTGAGGACGTAGAAGTTCCTGCTCTTGTTTTGAACTTTCTCCATTATATCCTTCTTTTGCTCTGTTGGCAAGGGTCTTTTGCAAATGAAAATTCACTCGATGGAGTTTTATTTTAAGGCTCAGAGCAGTGTCTGTCTTCCTAGGCTCCTCCCATGTCCCTCATTTGTAGCAAGCACCCATGGACCTGAGTGGGTGGCCTTCAGGCCTGTAGGGTGGTAGTTGTGTTTCCTGGAAAAGGTGGCAAGGAAATTTTCCAGTTTTGAAGTGTGTTATAAAACGAAAGGTGTTTTATACCTGTGACGTCGCCCTTCACCTTCTGCCCTGACTTCCAAAAGTTAGCGCATTCTGCCTTGGCCTCTGTTGGGGTTGAATTTCAGCCAGCAAGTCTCCAGCCTACAGGAGAATTTGAGATTTTTCTCCCTCCCCCATTTCTTCTGTTTTGTTCTGTGTAAACAGTTCCTGCCGAAGTAACATAGACAAATATAGCAGAGAATGCTTTTCTGGAAGATGCATGCTCCCAAAGCATTTTTTAACCATTTTTGGGAAGAATTGATCTTTCTGTGTGTTCCAGACAGACTGAAATAAGAGGGGAGGCTGTCGCTATAATGGAAGTGACATCATACATTATTGCCCCCATTGATCCGCTTTTAGTCTCCAGCCAGGATAAAAGGAAATGGCACCAGGGAGGAAGCATGCTTCATTTCAGCTCAGATCCCAGAGTGATAATGGGGTAATAATAGAACTCACGCCACTGTCAGGCTGTGGCTGCATTAGTCTCAAGCTCACTCTGTCTGGAGCTGCACTGACTTCCTTCCTCAAGCACTGCTGCTGTGCACCAGCTGGGCTGCAAAGGAGGGGCTCAAGGGCTCCCCTTGGCCTTCAAGGCATGCCAGCTGCAGTCCTAACGTTTGTGCCTGTGGAAGCTTCATGGTGAGACTTGTCCTGCCTGTGGCATTTCAGATCCGGGAGGTAAGCTGGCTTTTCTGCATGGCATTGTGCTAAGGTTGTGTGGATTGTCTTATGGGAGCTCTGAGTTACATCCATCCAGGGTTGGTTTTCTTTGTGCTGCTTGTACTTGGATATTGGGGTTGGCGGTTGGAAATGTCACATTTGCTCTCCAAGAAACTTTAAAACTGTTCAAAGTTATGCCACTTTTCTCAATTTTTAAATCTTTGGAAAAAGAATGACGTTAACTTTTTTCTTTGTACATTTCTTCATAATTAACAACTATGAAATCTTCAGTATTTATGGCAAGAACAGAGACTTCCACAGTCCTTAACATATAGCATTTGTACTTGACTGACTTCCTGTTGCATCTTGTTTCTTGTGTTTAGTTGAGTAAGTTTTATGGCCTGTGCCATTCTTTTCAAGTACCCATATGATTTAGGCATCTCATAGTCTTATTTTGTCTTGGGTTTCCAAGACAGATGCATTTTTACAATACTGAGGCATTTCCTATGTGGAAATAATAACATCATAGATCCCTGTTTGTGAAGAGAAGTTTCTTTTCCTTTGGCAGCTGAAGTCTGGGCATAGCTGTCAGTCCCAGATCTTGTACTATTTTCAGTTGGCTTCCCTAGCCTGATGCTCACAGTACAGACGACACTGCTGTGTCTCTTGCAGTATCTCCATGGTAGCACGCAGTTAGCCCCAAAGTTATGTGAAAGTTTATTTGATTTCTATGTGGGTGGGAGTGGGTTAGTCCCCTATTCGAGCTGCCAGGACAGCCCACTGCCCAGCACTGCCTCCCGGCACATTTGCAAGTACTTGAGATCTTTCTGTCGTGTTATGAGCATGTATCTTGTGTTATTCCCCTTCTGTTGTAGGGTGACTGGACACAGAGCAAATGTGTATTTTACAAAGAGGTGTTCATGCCATTAAAATAGTTTTGCTTTAACACATCCTCTTTTCAAGTCTGTAATCCTTTTTTGTGATGTTGCTGAAAACAGCATTAGGCCACTGATTTGTCTCTACTTTATTGTTCAGAGACTACATTTTCCCATGAATCGGAGAGCCAGGTGGCCAGAGGTTGTTTACTGACAGTGCTTTCTCCAGACTAGCAGAGATCTCCCAGCATTAGGGAGGAATGTTGAGCACGGCTATGTCTTCTGTCCCGCCCGCCTCTGAACAAGCCCGCTCTTGCAAGAGGGCATCTGTACCTTTCTGAATGAAGGCAGATGGATTCCTCTGAGGGGTGTGGACCCTCACCCCTTCCCACCTTTTAATTAGAGCCAGATAAACTTAGGAAACAGCCCTAAAGGTTTGAGTGTATATGTCCTCCTCCCTCCTTCCCTCCCTCCCTCCCATCTCAGCTGTCAGGGGGCTTAGCTCTAAATGTTTCCATTGCGTCAATCTTGAGACAACAAAAGCTTTCCATGATCCTTTTCATTCTGTTTGTGTGCAGATGTGAACTTTCTGCTTGGAAGAAAACAGCACACAGGTGTAGATCTGATTGGGCTCACGTGTTAGCAGTTCTCACACTGGAGTTGTGTTCAGTGACTGAACTGTGGAGGGTAACCCTGCTTAGGCGCATGGTGACTTTAGCCACAACAAAACCAAGAGAAACATCGGGGTGGCCGGAGGTAAAGGGGCCTTAGTTGGGGACAAGGGAAGACGCTGCAGGAGTGTGTCTAGTGTGTAGCCTTTGGGGAAAACATGTATTTTAGGACAAGAGGAGAGAAGCTGAAAAGTTAATGTCTTTTGAGTAGTGAAGTTGGCAGTTAAAATCCTGGTGCTCGCAAGAACCCTCCCTTGACCTAGTGTCCAGAAGTTCAGTTTGCTTAGAAGGATTATTAGTATAACCAAGGCTGGAGGGGTGCCCTGTGTAGACAATTCGGAATTTGTGTAAATGATTGTAAAGCTCTGATTTTAGTATGAACCTCTTTCATTCAGTACCCATGTATTTCAAGGTTTCTCTCCAAGCTGCTGTTGGAGAGGTGGCCCAGCCTGGAGGTGGAGTTGGGGGGTGAGGGAGAGTGGGGATGGGGGAGTGGCTCCCAGCAAGGCCTACAGGGGTTTGTTCCCAGGCTCTTTGCTTTGTGTTTTTATCACATACAGACTGTTTTTATGTGTTTTTATCACCGTCTCCCTCCTGTTGCCCTTAGCTGTTCCAAACCAAGTTTAGTGTGAAGAATGGGGGATCAGTGAGAGGGACTGCGTGTGGTGTGCTTAGGTGTGCTGATTGCTGTGCTTTTGTCTGCAGCCTGTAAAGTGTGTTACAGTGTCTTAAACTCAAGTTAGAAAGAGACCCCTCATGAAGAGGAGGGGCTGTGAGAGGAGGCAGTGGGTACATTGCATTTATTTTTCAGGGCTCAGCAGGTAGGGGCCTTGCAGGCTTACTATCTACTTCTGGTAAACTCTTGTGAATTTGCCAAAAGTTGGATACCCTCTTGAGTCCTTGTCCAGCCAGAAACATTTTTGGGCATATGCGTGCCATAAAGGCAAGGCCATTTTGAGCTATTGTGACATTCGATTAAGACAGGTGCCATTTTGATCTTCTGTAAGCACCCAGCATAACCATGGAAAACAGTTTTGCCAGAACCCCAGGATATATACATTTGGGGCTGCAGACAGCGTAAACCCTGCTGTATGAGGAAGGTCAGCACATGGTCTCGCCGTTTTTCAGACATGTAAGAGTACCTGGGTGACCCTGGCTTTGCTGCCCCTGCTCAGAACCTTGGTTTTAACTTCTTGGTGGCTAAATGACATTTCAAAGGCTGTTTCTTTTGTCTTCAGCTTTCTGCGGACCAGCTCGTCTTGCTTTTGGATTGTCTCTTAGAACAAACGACCCTGAGCCCCCAGACACTGCATTGTCTCCAGCAGACGTACCACCTCCAGGAGCAGGATGCAGAGGTAACACAAGTGAAACTGAGGCCCCTGGCGATAGGAAGGTGATGAGCCCACTGCAACCCCAGCCTATGAGTCTGCTGCTGGCCTTAGGATGATGCCTTGTGCCTGCATGTTAAGAGTCAAGGGCTGGGCTTCCAGCAGCAAGTGATCAGCTCCTGCCCTTCCCCAGCAGTCTTGAAATGGTTGGAGGCCTAAGTTTTCCCTCCTCCTATGTAAATTATAAAAACAGATGTAAGTTTCCTGAAAGCTTGCACTATGGAGTGGGTCATCTTGTGCTCTGGTGGTGGCGCCTTTCCCTTGCTCATTAAGGAAACTCAGTTCAGATGTGTGGGAGCAGCTCGGCTGCGTTCAGCCAGCACGAGAAAGAAGCCATGTGTAAAGGAAATGAAAAACGAATCTAGCAGCCATGGTTTAAAAAGTAAAATTGGATGCCTGTGGTAAAGCAGTATGATGTGAGCCTTAATATATTTTAGCTTATTCGGAACGCAGTTCAGATGCTAGATGGGTTCCAGGTTTGAGAAATACAAAATCATAAATATCTAATGTATTTAATCATCGTAAGAAAATGACAAAAGTTGAGAGAGATGGTCTTTGACATAGAGTTCTGAAATGAGAAACCCTGACTGAGATTCCCACGCACTCAAGCCCAGCAGCCACCAGCACTGGGGCTGCCGGACCCCTGCGGCCTAGCCCGGCTGAGCGGGGCGGACACAGGCATGGGACACACGTGAGACCAATGGTGTTTTCAGGCTCTTGCTATTCATTTCGTTATCTCTTTGGACTTCTATTTTAGACATGTTGGCTTATATGAAATGTTATAGTGACTTTCAGACCCTGTGAAGTGGTTACACTGACAAACAGTTCCTCAGTAGCTCACTGGGAGGGTGGTCTTTGTTGCACAGTTTTCAAGTCCACAGATTTAGGAGTAATTGACAGAAATCTGTGGGGAAACAGTGGCAGCCTTTACCACCTATGTATAGATCAAATGCCCAACTGTTCTGTTTCTGCTCTTACCCCTTTTGTTTATCCAAGACTACAAATGCCAGACTTATTTTTAATTAGTATTTCAAAGACCTTTCTATTTATAGGTAGAGAGTTGTGTTTTGACAGTGTTGAATTACACTGGAGTCAAGGCTCCTGCAAGCCTGGGGGAGGGGGTGGGTCAGAGCAGGCACTGAACACCTGTCCCTTGATGCCCAGAAGCCAGTTTTCCCTTCCTCCTGTGTTGGCATGTAACATATCCTGTCTTACCTTAGAGCCTAATACAGTTACTGTGTATCATGTCTTAACCCTTTGAGAAGGAAGTAAGTGTCTCCCTTTTTTGTATATACAGAAACCATATCTCACTGCCCAAAGAGGACACTTGATTCTGTGATCCTTGGTAGCCAGGTGCACATCATATATTGTGGCTACCTTTACACAGACGGGATCTGACTGTAGCATTCACATTTACCGTCTACACACTGAGAAAGAAATGGTGCACACAGTTCAGGCTCTCCCTTAGGAAGCTGGTGTTTCTTGGACAGCTCACTGAGTGAACAAGGTGGCTTCAGCCAAGAGCTATCAAGGGATGATACAGGGTAAAGATACATAGGCAAACATCTCTAGGCCAAGTATCTATTTAAGAAAAGCCCCTTAGAGGAAGCAACACTGAGCAAAAAGACAAAAGGAGGTGACTACACAAGACCAGAAAGATGTGTAGACTTAGTGTGTCAGGATGGTGGCCAGCAAATGTTTTATGTGATTTATGCAGACATGCACACAGACACACACACCAACCCACACTCAGGAATACATGGATGAATGCTGCTGTAAGCCAAGGAAAGCTGTGATAAACCTAAAATCTCATTTTGGTATAATCAGCAAATCTCAGGACTCTCGGCATTGCTGCTTCTGGTCACCTTTCACAGCGTTTTGCAGTTGTGGCTCTTGCTGGGCCTGTGGATTTAGACTCCTGCACTCAGGACTTCTGCTAAGCAGGAGCCTCGTGCCAGTGCACCATAGTTATGGCTGCAGCTACTTACGCTGGTGGCTTCTCATCTACTGAAGTTCCTGTGAAATGTTACTCTGACTCACAGAAGCAACAAGATTTCATCAACCAGGCTTTCTAGAAACATCATAATTTAAGTGTGAATTCTGTTGACTAGGTAGCAGGAGCTAAACCATCAGCTACTTTTATTTGAGTGACACTCCTGGGGAAAAAAGTTGTTAACTTGGTTATTTCTTGAGGTTTCCGACTTGGTTCTCACTATTGGTGAGCAGTCAAGGGAGTCCCACTGAGTTGCCAGGGATCTCAAATACAAAGTAGGAGTCACTGGAAAGATGGTCAAACAGACCTCTGTGGCAGGTATGTGCCTCCCATGAAGAGAGGCAAGGTAAGTTAGGTAGGCCTTCAATGTTCTGTGCAAGTCACTGTGCAAGCTCTGGGTCTGGTGTTGAGTGAGGGGTTTAATACAGAAGGGCTGGAACAATCCATGATTATAGGGAGGGTGTTTCCAAGACCTGCTGAAAGACTGTCCTGCTGTTCCTCTGACTGAAAGCGTGTGTGAATGGGCAAGGTTGAGAAGAGAACTGCTACCTTGTGGCTCCAGCTGGCCGAGTCGTCCCTTATGACAAAATGCAGTGCACATCCCTGCCATTGGCTGAGCTGTACTCTTGGTGCAGCAACTAAGAGTCTAGACCAAAAGAAACTCTGCTGCAGCTTCACATAAAGTAGGGAGACAGCTCAGGATGGCCTTTGTATCTGCATTCCTCCTCTTCTCTGAGACCCAAGTTGCTCTTACTTCCTGCCCTTGCCCTGTTCTCCACACTTGACTCTGTTGGTGAGGACGTCTTGCTGTGTTGTACCTCAAGGGTGATAGTGTTGCTTTGGGGCATTTGTGTGTCAGAGGTTATAAGGGTCAGCTCTGAACTCCTTCCAGGTTTTACACCCCTTTTTCTGTCATTAAGAAACTGCTGTGAGGGGTGGTGCAACTGCAGGCCCAGGTCTTAAAGTACCACCATGGCAGGAGGTGATGGAATGACTCTCTCTCTCTCTCACTGTTGTGGGCCATCCTGTATCTGTCATCTTGATCAAGGGCCACCTTGATGTTCCTTGGCCTAAGAAGTAACAGAATCCTAGGAGTTGGGCACCCTTTACACACAGGGTTGGAGCTATCAGCCCTGGGTCTGGCTTCCTTCAGCCAGGAATGAAAACAAGTTCACGGGAAACTTAGTCCATAGAAACACTTGTGTGGATTCCTGGGTGATGCTCAGACAAAGAACTAGGAAAGTTTAAATATGTACTGGACAGTTGATTTTGGAACAAAATCCTTATATAAAATCCCTCTTAAGGGTTGGTAAGATAGCTCAGCAAGTCAGCGAGCGTGCCTACCACCAAGCCTAAAGCCTTGAGTTCAGTCCCTTGGATCGACATGGCAGAAGGTAGAAAACACTGTCCTCTGAACTTCATATATACACAGAAAGTAAACGTGATTTAGGGACCAGAAATCTGGTCCCTAAAAGCAGATGGTGCTCTTGCAAAGGACCTGAGCGCAGATCCCAGCAACCACAACAAAATTCACTAAACACAGTCAGTTTGTGTAGTTCACCTATGCACATTTTAATCCTGGACATTTGACACAGTCAATTATTGAAATTATCTCAGGTGGCTCATAACCATCTGTTATGCCAATCTGTCCCACTTCCTTTACCGGGTTCTGGCACAAATGTAGTAAGCACGCATAAACCCAGCCAAACACTCACACACACATAGTATGTTTATATACTTAGGCAAACACACACATTTTTAAAAAACAAATTTTTTAGGTCTCATCAGGAATGGCTGTATTGTCTTCCTCTATGGCCAGGTAAGGCTGCTCCCCCCTCTGGGAGAGATGATCAAAGAGCAGGCCAATCAGTTCATGTCAGAAGCAGTCCCTGTTCCCATTACTATGGAACCCACTTGGACACTGAACTGCCATGGGCTACATCTGTGCAGGGGTTCTAGGTTATCTCCATGCCTGGTACTTGGTTGGAGTATGAGTCTCTGGGAAGACCCCTGTGTTCAGATTTTTTGCTTCTGTTGCTCTCCTTGTGGAGTTCCTGTCCTCTCCAGATCTTACTATTTCCCATTTCTTTCATAAGATTCCCTGCATTCTGCCCAAAGTTTGGTCATAAATCTCAACATCTGCTTTGATAGTCTGCCGGGCAGAGCCTTTCAGAGACCGTCTGTGGGAGGCTCCTAACTTGTTTCCTGTTTTCTTCTTCTTCTGATGTCCATCCTATTTGCCTTTTGCAATGGGGATTGAGCATTTTAGCCAGAGTCCTCCCTCTAGATTAGTTTCTTTAGGTGTACAGATTTTAGTAAGATTATCCTATATTATATGTCTATGAGCGCGTATATACCGTATGTGTCTTTCTGCTTCTGGGATAGCTCACTCAGGGTGATCCTTTCCAGATCCCACCGTTACAGACTAGGATCAGAAGGAAGAAAAAGAAACCTTCCCCTACCAGTGGACTTGGGGAGGGGCATGCGTGGAGAAGGGGGAGGAAGGGATGGATTGGGAGGGGAGGAGGGAGGGAACTAGAGGGGGGACACAAAGTAAAAAAAAAAAAGTGTAATGAAAAATAAAAATTAAAATTAAAAAAAAAAGAATGAATTGAAAATAAAGACCATCAAATTGACAGTGTGGTTCAGAGGCAGAGAAGTGGAGTAGCACGCACAAGTGTGATACTGTCACCCTTTGACTCGACTCACATATTAAATTTTTCAACTCCTTTACTGAAGATTACATGTGATAAACTATTTAAAAAGTACAAAAAACCCCCCAATTTTTAAAAGTGATTATAAAAATGCTTGTGATCCCTTTAAAATAGTGAGTTCCTTTTCTCTTCCTCTTCCTTCCTCCTTCCTCCCTTCTTCTTCTTCCTTCCACCCTTCTTCCTCCTTCTTCTTTCTTCTTCTTTCTTCTTCTTTCTCTGTCTGGTGACACATCATCAGTCCCAGGGGCTAGAACATCAGG